ATCTTTTTTCAGACTTCCATATAAGCCTGAAAAAAAAAACCCTGCTGCTTTAAGGATAGCAGTGGAGTTACTCTGCCAAATTCTTCCTGAAGCCTCCACAGCCTCTTAAAGGCAGCCTTTGGCTCTAAGCAACCACTCTGCAGACCAGACGGAGAGGCCTTGGGGCCCATGGGATGAATCTGGGAGAGGCTGCCCTGCAGTCTTTCCCCCCCAAGCCCGGCCCGAGCACTCCTGTCTTGGTCTTTCACCCCACTGTTACTAGCCAGGATATGGCCAGAGCTCAGCAAAATTCCCCTGATGCTCACCTCACCTGCTTTCAGTAGCTCCAGGCCCTCAGAGCCCCAGCACCACTCGATCAAAATCCATGGCCTACTCAGGCAACGACAGGAGGATTGACTGATCGCCCTTCTCAACATGGAGATGTGAATCTCCCTCTCTAGGTAGAAGTGGATTTTTTTTGGGCTGACATCTCTTTTCAGAGAAACTCAAATTTGTACACTGGCTCTCCCTGGGCAGAGGGTCAGCCTGGCCACTCACATCTCCTGCTCCTCTTGAATACAGCAGTAGACATCAAAAGGCCAAAGAAGGCCAATGGAGTCCTGGAGGTCTCCTAGAGAGGCCATTGCTGCCCATCAGCATTCACTGTAATGCCCCCCAGACACCCCTCTGTCCCAAACAGAGCCCAACATGGAAGCCGAGGAGAAAGACGCCCTCCTCCCAGCCTCTCCCCAGTGCCCAGCATTACCGTTTGCCTTCTACTCAGGCGGCCATGTCTTCCAGTAAGCTCACATAACTTCCCCGATTATACCTCTGAAGTCAGTGAGTCATTGCTAGACACAGAGCTGCCTGCCCCACAGTTACTGTACCGGAAAAGGAAGTGGTGAATGGGGAGGGGGAGCAAAGTGTCCAAGCCAGCTCACCTTGCAAAGCACACGTGGCCTCTTCAAATACCGGCTGGCGCCCCAGGATTGCTTAGATCCACTGCCTGTCCTCAGCTGAACAGCACTGGGCTCACTTGGAAAGTGGAGGCCCCGGGATTCCAGCGGCAGAGGAAAGGTGGCCACACTCAGGTGCATTTGTGTGGAGGCATTGTCCTGTTCTGGGCTACTTACAGACCCCGCCCCCCCTGCAACTAACGTCTCTCTGGGGCTGGCACAGAAGTGGCCTCTGTGTCAGTGGTCACCAACCAGTGGGCTGGGGACCACTGGTGGTCTGCAAGAAAATGTTGGTGGTCTGCAGAGAAAGGTCACCCCCAAAGCACCCCCCAAAGCAATTAATGAAGGCTGTGGGAGCACAAGGCTTCTGTCGCTTGCATTGTGAACAACATGAGGTAGTGAGGGGAGGGGGGGGAAAGGGTGAAGGGGGGGAACTTGCCCCACTCGCCCCACACACCTGGCCTGGTCACCGGGCTGCTTCTTTCCGCTTCTTTCTTCTGCTTTTGGCTGCAGCAAAAGCAGCAAAAGTCTTTCTTTCTCTCCCCCAAACTCCACCAGAAATGAGTCTTTGGGACCCTGCAAAGCCTCCTGCTCCAAAAGGCTGCGCCAGCAAAGACTCATTACTGGCAGAGTTTGGGGCAGAGAAAGAAAGACTTCTGCTGCTTCTGCTGCTTTCCTTGCACGAAGCCAAAAGTCTCTGTCTCTGTCTCTATCTCTCTCCCTCTCCCCTCCTCCGCCGAGAACGGAGCTGCAGATGGTATCTAGCAATCCCAAATCAAGAATGATTGACCAGTAGGAAAACGGGGTGGGGATTTTCCTGCAGACTTCTTTTGGGATTTTCCCAGGGTCTCTGCTGATTTTGACAGAGACCCTGGGAAAACGTCAGCGAGCCACTGCCAGTCAAAATTCATATTAATGGTCTGCGGGATTTAAAATTATGAGTTTGGTGGTCCCTGAGGTCCAAAAGGTTGCTGACCGCTGCTCTACATAGCCATCAAACGTAGGTCAAGAGCCCAACAGGGGCAACAGGTTGCCTTTCCTATCTAGATCTGAAGTTTTGCAACATTTATCAGAGGGTCATGAATGATCTAAAGCAGCAAATTAAAAGCAGGATTGCATCACTATTCTTGCTCGGTGTTTGTTTTAGCCAGCAAGGTCAACAAGTTCTGCATTCTTCTTTCAAAGGGTGAGTTGGTATTATTGCCTTCTCTCCAGGTAGCAGGAAACTGAATGCAGCCCTAAACGTTCAGCCTGCTGGGAAGCAACCATAGTGTAGCTCTCTCCAACCGCAGCTGGGAAGACCCGGGGCTGCAAAGCTGTGGCTGGAAAGGTCACGGCTGCCCTGGGAGTTTTCTCAGAAGTACCTGGGGATTTCCGCCTCTGCCGGGGATTCAGCGCTTGCAGCCAACACACGGTGGGACCTGACATGGAGCACGGAAGGGGCCTCCTTCAGCCCGGGAGTTGGGGTTGACCACGGGCTTATTTAGGAGACTAAAAGAGTCACAGACGAGGCGGGTTTGAATGGACGTTTTGCTGGCCATGTGGGATCAGGCCCTAGGATGTGCAGCACAGGTTGTGCAGCCTACACTAATTCCAGGCAATGTTGCTCGCAGTGGCTGTGGCTTCTAGCCCACACTTACTTTTAGTTTATTGGTCGATTATTAAAACATATATGCCACCCATCTCACTATGCAAAATGACTCTGGGTGGCTTGCACCACAGTGCAAGTACAAAGATAAAAACATTAAAGTTAACAGGAATTAGTTAAAGCTAGGAAAGAAGTAGGTAGGAAGGCTTGTCTTCTTTCCTCCAAAGGCTGGTTTAGTTGCCTGCACCCACACGGGGCCATCGCTGCCTACCTAGGCCACAAAAGCGTGGATGAGTAAGCAGAGCTGCCGATGGCCGCAGGCAGGTGGAGGTAAACCCTTCCCAAATCCCTATTGTGCAGAGGTGTGCCTCCTGCCTGCTGATTGGCTGGCCTGACTTCCTGTTCGGTGCTTTGGTGTTTGAAGGCACCCTAGTGAGAACACTACATCTGCAGAAATAGAAACAGAGCACACAGAATCAGAGAGTCGGAAGGGACCCTGGAGGTCTTCTAGTCCAGTCCCCTGCTCAAGCAGGAAACCCCACCATATCCCATTTCAGACAAGGGGCTGTCCAATCTGTTCTCTAAATCCTTCAGAGTTGGAGCACTATTTTATACCAGTACGTTTGTTTTTTTCTTGTCTAAACCTTACTTTACGCTAGAGGAGGGGTTCAGCCGGTTCTGACCAGTTCTGGAGAACCGGTAGCGGAAATTTGGAGCGGTTCAGAGAACCGGCCAATCCCGCCTCTGACTGGCCCCGCCCACCCCGTCTCTTCTCCGCCTCCCGTTGAGTCCCAGCTGATCGGCTGGGTCTCCTTTGGTTGCCCTGCACAGGAGAACGGGGCTGGAAAGCAGGTTAGTGGGGTGGGGAGGGAAGGGGGATTTTGCAGTATATCCTTCCCCTGTCATGCCCACCAAGCCACGTCCACCAAGCCACACCTACAGAACCAGTACTAACTTTTTTTGAATCCCACCACTGCTTTACGCACCTCTGAATTATATCTTGTTGGAGAGAACCGGATATTGTGTTTGTTGAGATTCTTCTGGCTCTTGAGCCTACCTTCTGAGGAGCTGGCTATTCCTGCCAGCTTGGTGTCATCTCCAAATTTGATGCGTTCCTCTTTCATCCCCTCATCTGGACATTGATGAGCGCTGGGCCCACCTTTGCTACTGTCCCCCAATGGCAGATGCAGACACTTCCTGACGGAGTCTTTCCCAGCCACCTCCAGCACGAAACGCCCCTGCTGGGACCAATTGGAAGCCGGATTGTGAGGCTCTCCTGGAAGGCCAAGAGTCAGGGCTCCAGTAGTTACCCCCAATTAAATGATGAGGCTCTAGCTGGATTTTCAAAGCTTAAAGACGATTTATTAGGAGTAAAGATGAGTTGACACCAAGCAGGTGTGGGCAGATCTCACTCTGGCAGCAAGATGCCCCAAAGGGGTGGGGGGCATGGTAGGAAAGGCCCTTCCCCCAGAGCCCGTCAGCTAGGATTCCTTGGCCGACGGGGTCCGTCGCATGGCTCTCCTGCAAGAGCGAACGGAGCAGACCGACCTCCCTGAGGCAAGGTGGTTCTTTAGCCAACCTGGTCCCAACAACATCCCTGGGTCATATTACAGTACAGAAGGCAGGAGAAGCAGCAGCCGATGGAAACGGATCAAGGAGAGAAGCAACCTGGGGCTTAGGAGAAACTTCCTGACAGGGAGGACGATTGACCAGAGGAACCGCTTCCTTGCCTCCAGAAGTTGTGGCTCCTTCCTCATCACTGGAGGCTTTCAAGAAGAGATGAGAGAACCATCTGTCTGAAACGGCATCGGGTCTCCGGCTTGAGCAAGGGTTTGGACTAGAACAGGGCTCTCCAACCTTAGCAACTTTGAGACTTGTGGACTTCAGCTCCCAGAATTTCTTAGCCAGAAAAGCAAAGCTGGCTGAGGAATTCTGGGAGTTGAAGTCCACAAGTCTCAAAGTTGCTAAGGTTGGAGAGCCCTGGACTAGAAGACTTCCAGAGTCCCTTCCAGCTCTCTTCTGATTGAAATCCCTCTACCAAATTGCCTGGTTTTGACCTGCCTTGTTCCGTCTGGACAAAACGGAACAGAATAAGGCGCTTTACTGGAAGAGCTGCCTTTGCCCTGGATCAGCGGGGATGGGAACACTCCCGCTCATTGCAACTGTGGGCTGCTATGCAAACTGTTAAACATATTGGGCAAGATTGCCTACGCCGTGCATTCTCCGCTTCCCTAGAAGATCTGCACAAAGCAACGCCAGAGGCCATCGCCTGGAGAGCTGAATTGGACATCCGGTTATGCTGCCATCGCTGTACGCCTGTCAGCTTTGGAAGCCCTATTCCACGCGGCCACCTAGCCTGAGAAAGTGGGAGGGGGGTGATTTCAATGAAGCGGCTCTAAGGAGACTAAATAAAATTCTTTTGTTAGTTCAAGGTCCATTAAGTATGACGCAGGATGAAATAAGGATCTTACTTTTGGACGGATCGTGATTGGGCCATGTGATGACAACCAAGGGGAGATGGGTTTGTAGTTTGGGAAATTGTGGAAAGCCTGAAAACTTTTAGATTCGGGATTCCACAGGTGTGCCAGGTGCTGTTCTAATAAAGGTACTTTTGAGATATGTTGGCCCACCAAGTGTTCCTGTTCCTCAAGCAGCTCAGGCGGCAAAACAGCTTCGCCTACTAGAGCTGTCCGGCAGGGGCCACATCAGCCTTTCTCATGACTCCCCCCCACCCGCCCAATACATTGGGGATTCCCAAAGAGGCGGGCCAACTTGTGCATGGGGGGGGGGGGGCGCACGAGCCACGCATTTCAACCACGGGTGAAGTCAGAAAAAGGTACACAGGCCCAACTTGTACAATGTCAGGGTTATAAAAGGGTTTGTTTATTTAGTTATTTATTAAAATTATGCCACCCATCTCCTATCCAGAGACTCTGGGCCGCTCGCAATGAAATACAATCCTACAAAGGCCTAAATGAGAAAGAGGAAAAGGCTGGCAACCAAGAAGAGGGGAGTGGGGCCTTCTCCCCTCCCCACTGGGGCCTCAAGTTAAGCAGCAGAGCCGGGGAGGACAGGCGGACGGGGATGGATCCCACCTCGAGAGGTCCCATGGTCCGTGGGGGAGGGGGCATGGCAGAAAAGGCCCTTCTCCTAGACCCCCCCCCCGGCTGAAGCTCCTTCACCAATGGGGTCTGTCGGAGTGAGTGGAGCAGGCTAATCCCATTGGGACGAGGTGGTTCCTTTCATCACCTGGTCCCATAAAGGGCTTTAAGGACAAAAGCCAACACCTTGAATTGGACCTGGAGGCAAACTGGGAACTAGTGCAGGCAGGACTGGGGTTGTAATGGGAGTGTGTGCGTGGGCATGCATAGCTAAGTCTGGAAGACTTGTAAAGGCCTCCTGGCTCTGCAGCACCTGTGTGTGTTTGTGTTGGTGTGGCTTCTCTGGCCCCTGGACAGCCTGTCTCCTCTCCTTTAGGATGAAGCTCTGACCTGCACTGCGCTCCTCACCCCAAGCATAGCAGCTCTGAAAGGCTCCAGAGCTCTTTCTCCCTCCCTTCAGGAGGACCCTGGCCCCCACTCGCCCTTCCTTCCGAGCTGCAACCTGGGGCTCCCCAGCTGCAGGAAGAGTAAGGAAGGCCAGCTGGAGGGATGGAGGCCTTGGAGGTTCGACGCCCAGCTGAGGCTTGGGGATGCAGAGCCAGAGGGGGGATGGGGAGGCCGGGGGGAGGCAAGGTGCCCGGGGTGTCCGCCGGGCCCCCTTCTGTAGCCACGGTTCTAGGAAGACCTGAAACTGGAAAGGGGCACAAGCCGGGGCAGCTACAGCCTGCAAAGGCTGCTTGACCCACCACCCATGTTCCCTGCTGACTGTCCGGAGAGCTGCAAATTGTGAAGTGGAGAAATGGGATTTCCAGCACTGGGCTTCACCTGCTTTTACCTGAAAAGGTGCAACGTCTATTCCTCTCCGAGTTTGAGCACAACCCCCCCTTTGTGCTCAATGGGTTCCCTGCCCCCGAGAAGCCTCTCTTCGATGCCCGGAGGAGAGGCTTCTAGACGGGCTCCACGGAGAACTCCGGGGAGGCGAGGCTGCTCTGGAGGGCACAGCTGAAGGCCCGGTAGCCAGAGAAGAAAGTGGCCTTCGGCCCGGGCAAGCTCTCAGGCCCCCCAGAGGCCTGCAGGGCAGAAGCTCCCAAGGCCCCTCCTGGCTGGGGAGGGAAAAGCCACGTTTCTGGGGCAGCGGCTCCGTAAAGGGAGAAGGCGTCTTGACCAATTGGGAAGCCTCCAGAAGTGTCCGGCAGCGGCAGAAGACCCGCCCCAGACGCGCCCCAGGCCTGCTGGCTTTGGCCTTCCTGGGCCAGGCCAGGCCACTGACTCCAGGCCGGGCAGAAGCCGCTCGCCGGCTGAGCCTCCAGGCTGCTGAGGGACTTGTAGCCCAGAGCCAAGCGGGCGGCAGGGAGGGCAGTGCAGGAGGGATCGGTCGGCGAGCTCTCCAGCCCAGGCAGCCAGTCGGCTTGTCCTTCAGGAGCGTACAGGCCTGGCCCCGATGAAGGCAGCTCCAGCCCACAGCCCTCGGCCTCCACTCGGCAGCCTTGATAAGCCGGCTGGGGGAGGCCCTGCAGGCAGATGGGCTCCTCTGGAGTAAAGCCACTGTGGGTGGAGGTTGCCAGGCCCCCCGGATCCCCTGTGCTCAGGACACCACCCACAAGGTCCCTGAAGAGGCCGGCCACAGCGTCTTCGTGCTCCATCCGCATCTCCACGGGCTCCGTCTCTTCCTCTGCCTCTTCCGGGCTTCCTGCTTTGACCTCTCCGGCACTGCTGCCTGCGGTTAGGGAGCCTTGGCTCAGGAAGACTTCTTCGGGGACCAGAAAGGGCTCCCGGGTCACACACGGAGGCTGGGGAGGGAGACCGGCAGCCCCTTTGCTCGGAAACGGCCTGCAGTGGGCATGTCAGGAAGAAAAGGCCCGAGGAGGATCAGCCTGCTGCCACAAGGCCCCTTGGCCTCCCCACTCCCCAGGCTCTCCCCTGGCTTCCATGATGCAGCCAGGGACAGCGCCAGAGCAGCCGATCCAGCCCTGGCCTTCCCTGGAGGCAAGGCCAGCTGCCCGCTCTACCTACCGTCTGCAGGGAGCCGGGTCCATCTTGCCGAAAACCCAAAGCTGAAAGAAGCAGGAAGATGCTTGAGGGGGCTTGCATGGAAGGTGTCCTGCCCCCTCCCCCCCTGGGGAGCCCCCCTGGGGAGCCTACCCATTTCCCCGCTGTGATATCCTCGGCCAGTTTGCTCTTGCGGGGACTTGGGATCCCATCCCACCATTTCCTCTTCACCCTGCAAAGCAAGAGAAGAAGTCGCTTCATTATCTGAAGAAAGGCAGGGAAACTGCAGCAGGACAGACACCCGCCCCCCCCACCCCCGGGCTGGATGCCCCAAACGCCTTAAGGCCCCACACAAGGGGGTTCGTATTAGGTGCCGTTGGCAGGGGCACAATATTGCCTGGTTCCCCTCCTCTCCTTCAGGCGGATTCCAATCGGGGAAGGAAATTGAGGCTAAGAACTTGGGGAAATTCCTCAGGGCCGGATCTCTCTCCACGTCTGGTCAACATCTACAGGAGGCCACTGAATGAGGCCGGCCTGGGGTCAGTTGATGCCCAACTGTGTCTCTTGGTTGACCAGGGAAGCTTTTGAAGTTGTATCTCGAGGGCTTTGGATGGGGAGGAGCAGGTGCAGGTTCATTCCTAACCAAAGTGAATGACTGGATGCATGGAAGATGTAATTAAGGACCTGCCAACCTTCTTGGTTGCTCATCCCAGCTGGACCTCCTGGATGTGTAGCTCTTGTTTGCATGCCAGATGACGGCTATAATTAGATTAGTTTTTGCACAGACCCATCTTGTGCACCAATTGTGTCCTTTGCGGGATCAGGAAGTCCTACAGCTGTGCTACTGCCATGTACCCTACACGGGTATGGCCTTGAAGACCACCCAGAAGCTGCATCGTGTGCAGAATGCATCATCTGAGTGGTAATGGGTGCACCTCGCTTCACCCCGGCAGCACCCCCACCCCATAAACAAGTTGCCAGACAGCTTTTGGGTAAAATTCAAGGTGGTTCTTGTTATGGCTCAGGGCCTGGTTACCTGCATATCTCCAGGTACGCCTGGCCATCTTGCTAGATCCAGCCAAGCGCCTGGTTATTAAAACCGTGTCCTGTTGTGAACAACTCTTGAGACAGGGCTGTTCTAGCGCTGGCTGTGTCCGTGGGGCAGAACCCCCCACCCAATATCTGCTCAATAAGGCTCCTGCAAAAGGCAATTCCAGATCCCACCCCGAGGAGGGGATTCTATTCCCTGGTTTTTGAGTTTGCTTCTCTAATATAGTAATATTTGTTTTCTGTTTACTGTTTCCTACTTATTTTCCTGATTGAAATGTTGTCCATGGCTGAGAGTCACTTGAAGAGGCTTAAAAAACGAACCAACAAGCAGACCGATTCATGAAACCCACCATAGGCAACAGAGGTAGCCAAAGAGAATGAGACCAATGACGATCACGCACAACCAAACAATGTGCATCCAGGATTTCTTTTCCGAGCTGGGCTCAAAATCTGCAAAGGAAGGAAACGGTTACAAAAAGAGAAACGGTGGGAATCAGCACCAACTCAGGACTGCCCAGGTGGCTGAGCTGGAGAGAATTTGGGCCAAGCATAAATACATGTTTCCATGAAGGAGGAGCAGGTGTAGGTGAGAAGCACTACCAGGTTTCTCTCTCTCCCTCCCTCTCCCTCCCTCCCTCCCTCCCTCCCTCCCAACCAAGCTGCCGTAGAACAATAGCTTTTTGAGTGAAGAAATTCTCCACATCATCTTCTCCTTGGACCCACCCCATTAGAAAGGCAACTTCCACTCATATCTTGGACTCCAAAAAAGCAGATTTTGGTGAACTCAGAGCAAATCCCACAGCAGGAGGGACTAATGGGGAAAGGACTTCAAGATCGGTGGAGGTTGCCGAGGAAGCGTATTAAAAGCAGAATTGCAAGCCATGAAGGACAATTTGAGGAAAGGTTGTTGAAAGCAAAGACGAACTAGAAGTCAAAAGAGAGATAGCTGTGGTCCCTGCAGATCTGTGGTCAGGGAAGATGAAGCTCTGATTGAGCTGAGCTCAATGAACAATGCTCAGAACAACTGAAAAGGCTTGTTTGGATATTTTCAACACAAAAAGGAAAAAGAAAGAAAATGGAAACCAGCAGTTTAGTGGCAGAGAGAAAATGGTAAAAGAATGTAAACGCTGCTTGATTTCTCCCTGGTTCAGTCTTCTCCAACAAGAATTGTGTATGTCTAGTCCAGTGAAAAGAAGGACTGACGTGATAGCAATATTCCAGTATTTGAGGGGCTGCCACAAAGAGGGGGAGGGGGGTCAACCTATTTTCCAAAACACACAAAGGCAGGACAAGAAACAATGGACGGAAACTAATCAAGGAGAGAAGCAGCCTAGAACTAAGGAGAAATTAAGCAGTGGAACAGCTTGTCTTCAGAGGCTGTGGTACTCCATCACTGGAGGTTTTTAAGGAGAGACTGGCCAGCCTCTTGTCTGAAACGATATAAGGTTCCTGTTTTAGCAGTGGGTTGGACTAAAGACCTCCAAGGTCCTTTCCAATTCTGTTATTCTGTTAACAAAAATAATGGAATTACCATCTGGGAAGTGTCAGTCCTTCCAGCAGCCCTTAACCTGTCCAAAGCAAAGATAACAGCACATCTTAGGTGAGATTAAAGTTTACAATAAATGGCAGATGGGAAAACCATGATTTCAAAACAAATAAAGCTTCAAAATCAAAAAGTGATGATAAAACAGAAGGAAAAGTTTCACTGGAAATACAAGTGGTTCTATTAAAAATAAGTTGGTCCTAAATGCTAAGGAATGGCTATTCCATAATCCAGCAGATTATGCTGCTCACAGGCATCAATAGATTAATAGATCAATAGTTTAATCATCAATAGACAATTAAAAACCAACATAATAACTTCAAGGGTGCCTGCAGACAATCTGATTGAATCCCTACAGCAACAGTCACACTGAATATATATAGCGATAACATCTAATGGGAATGTGATTCTGATATGTAAGAAGAAATATAGAATACATAGATGGAGATTAAATGAGATGCTGCTATAAGCAATCAAGCAATTAAGAACTGTAAAAAAGAGGTTGGTATGCAAAAAAAGTATTCTTGAGAGGACAATTTATATTTCAGAATACTAAATTGAAGAAACAGAGAAAAGATTATAAAGATATAAGTAAAAGAACATGATTTAAAATACCATCTGAAAGAAAAAATATTTTAAAACAAATTAAATGTTTGCAATGCCAGTTTTTAAGCTGATAGATGAAGAAATAGAAACAAAAATGAATTTTGTTGAACAAAATTTTTTTGAATCAGCAAATATACCGTGGAAATGGCTAATATATAAACTGAGGAAAAAAGGATGGGGGAAATGATATTAAAATTATAAAAAGTTAATTAGATAGATAGATAGATATAGAGATAGAGATTATATACAGTAGTTATAATGTATATATAAAGGAGCAAATTCTTTTCATTCATAAAGAAAGGCAAGTACCTACTGTACCAAAAAATTACCAGTCAATTTCTTCACTGCATTAGAACTATAAAGCATTTACGATGGTCTTAGCTGAAAGAATGAAAGATGTTTTGAAGGATTTTGTATATGAAGATCGATGTGGCTTTTTGCCTAAAAGACAGATGAGGGGCAATATAAAATATTCTTTACATACAAGAGTATAATCAATATATGCAACATAATCAAAAACAGGCCATGTTGATATTTTTTCCTGTGGAAAAACATTTGCCAGTTTGAAATGGATTTTTTTGGAAACAATGGATTTTGAAGATATTTTTATCAAATAAGTAAAACTGATACATAACTCACAAACAGCACAAATAGTCGACAATGGTAAATTGCCTTAACCTTGTGAGATACACAAAGGAACAAGATGAGCTTTCACAGCTGTTGTTCAGTTTGGCTTTGGAAGTTCTTACGAGAGAGATAAGATGAAAGAATAAGTGCGGTGAAAGTAAAAAAGTAGTTACCTATATAAAATAAAAAGCATTTGCAGACTGTTTGGTTTTAATAGTTGAAAATTCCTTGGAGGGAATAGATATATTATTGGAAAAACTGAAAGAATTTGGTAAAATAGTTGGAATTAAACTTAATGAAGAAAAAATTAAAATCTTAGCCCCAAAAAATGGAAAATCAAAATGAGCTGATAGGAAAGAGGCCCCAAAGCTGCTTTTCCAACCACCTGGTTGTTAGCACTTGCACTGAGAGCCATTGAGGCCACTTGGAAGTTTATCTTCCGGAGGTCTCCTGAATGGTGCAAACGGAGCCTTCCTGGAACTGCCGTGTTGTAAGGGCCGCGGTCTTACAAAACAGTCCTTTCAGCACTTCCAAGAAGGCCCCACCTCCACTTCCACTCTGCTACAGGTGACGCTGAGGACACGGGGTGAGAAACCAAAGATTAAATATACAATTCTGCAGGATGCCAAAGGGAAAAAGAGGCTTAGAATGACCCAATCTTACATTATCTTTGCAGCCTATTGTTTGGTTTGGGTGAAGGATCTGTAAGTGAGTCTCTGGCCTGAGGAGGAAACAGATTTCACCAGGACCAGGTTTCTACCCAGGGACTAGGCCGGGGCCGCCTCAGAAGTGCAGGGGGCTCAGAGGGATGAGTTAAAAGGAGCAGGAAAGGGCTGATCTGAACGGCTGCCAAAGGAGCACCCATGTCAGTCCGGAAACGCAGAAGTTCTCCTTCAGAGCTCCCAGGCATTTGGAAGGAGTCGCATCCGTTGCGCAGCTGTTGCTTCCCATGCACTTCTTGCACCAAGAGTAAGAAGATGGTGTGAAGGCTCGGGCAAGGACTGAAACTTAGAGGGAGCAAGACTAGGAGTCTGGGGACACAGAACGAGGTGGGTGGCCCTTGTCATGCCCCTGTTGGAGACTGAATCCGAGGAGGAAGACGAACAGCTGACAGGGAGTAGGAGTGTGGCTCTGTTGGCTGTGGAGAAACTGGAGAAGGGCAAAGTCCGGCTGGGCAGAGCAGGGAAGAGGTAGAACAAGGGAGAGGGGGTTCAAAGGAAGACCCAGGCCCACCCCCTCTTCATCCTAGGGCACACAGGGAGGAACAGAGAAGGGAGCAACATGGGTTGCGTGGCTTACAGGGGAGGAAAGGGCCCTGATTCCTTTCATTAGCCACAGCTGGGAAGAGAGTTTAAAAGAAATGCAGGCTGAGTGCAGCAGCTGCTGGGAACAAACATGAGTTTATCTTGTGTTGACTTTGCTTATCTGTGTTCCTGGCATCCTCCCAACTGGGTTGAATTACTGCCGTTCCTTCACATCTGGAATTCCTTCTCTTGCCCTGCCAGACTAACTATCTCAACTTGCCTTGTTTGGACTTATAGTTACACTTTTTGTTGACCACGTTTTGGACTTGATTCTCTTCAGCCAAAGGCTGTTCCTGGGAGAGATTTTCTCCAGCCAAGAAGGTATCCAGGACATTTGGGACAAAGTTGGAGTTAATAAAGGAACTCCTACTGATTATCTGACTGTGTTGCCTTTGTGCCATGCCCCAGGTCATCACAGCCCCACATCAGACCGTGGTTCAGTGGGTTCCTCTTCAGCCCATCATATTTCTTCATGTCTTGCCTGAGACAGGATATGAGTGGTTGCCACAATCTAAGGCTCCACTAGTTCCAAGAATTTTACGTGCAAACCCATTTCTGCATTCTTTTAAAGCGTTTCTTGTGAAATGAAGGAGACTTAGCATATCGTGAGATTTTTAAGTTCAGGATTCCATCCTCAGAACCTCATCAAGCTCTGCATTTCCTCAGGCGGGAAAAAAGGCTTCCCCCCTTTAGCTTTGCAGGACTGGTGATCTCTATGTGGTCTCCTCTCCTTCCTTTGTCCCATCTCTTCTAATGGACAACACTTTAAGTCTTCACCAAAACACTCTCTTCCATTACTTGTGTGTTTCCAGTCTTGGCTGGCTACTCTTGCAGAGTGCAAATTCTGACGCCAAAAGAACCATAAATTGGCTTTTAAAAAGTATTGCTTCCTTTAGCAAAATGTTGCTGTTTCTGTCTTATTACTAGCCTAAAATATCTAAAAGAGCAATTAATTAATTCTTCTTAGGCTATAATTCCTGTTTGTGGTTATATACTGTAGACAAGATTGCATTTTTCACAATACAATTAAACCAACAGATTACCTCCAATCCCTTTCCCTGAAGGAATCTAATAAATTAAGGGGAAATTATTCCACTTGAATGGGGACAATCTAACACCGCCCTCCAACAAGAAAAGTTGTTAATTAACCTTGGAAACATTCTTTGTTGAACAGGAATTACATACTGTAGAAAAATCCCCCCTTTAATCTTGCGCCCAGCTAATTGCAGTATTACAGCATCTACTTAAAAATATAAAGAACGCTTAGCTGAAACCCTTTAGAGATCTTCCCCTCCTGAAGTGTTGATGATGGGGGCCCAATTCAGAATAGTTGTAACCGGCAAACACTCAGGAAGTTCTTCTGTTTCCCACCAGACTGTTCCACGGTTGGTTTGCCCTGGGAAGAGGAGAGGCAGCTTCCCCAGAGCCAAAGTGGCCTTGAGCCCACTCACCATTGAGCCACTGAGTAGTCGCACTCCACTCACTCCAGGTTTCTCCCCAGAGTTTCAAGCCATAGCGCACCCTCGCTTCGTAGGTGGAGTCTGACTGGAGCTTGTCTGCAAAGATCGTGTGATGGGATGAGTCCTCTGGAACAATTATTTTCTGGGAAGAGAAAAACACATGTCAGTACGTGCGCGCGCGCACACACACACGCGCGGAGCAGGTGAGGGAGATACCTTTGAGAGGAAACAGGCAAGACCTGTTAGCCAATAGGGCTGAAAAAATTCCTTAAGTCTTGGGAATCAAGACAACCTTTGGAAGAAGCCGAGAGAGACCCTCCCTGATCCACTGGGATCCAAGGAGGAGGGGAGATCGAGCCCAGTCAGACCACAAGACTGTTGATCAAAGCTGGCTTTGTTCTCCTCTGGAATTGACCCCCTGGGCTGATCTGTCTTAGGGGGCTCCCACCCGATGCATAGCCTGAATCCTGAAGTGGCCCCTTTCTTTCTACTTCGGGGCCCTGGCTACGGGGCCTTGGCCAGCGGGGGAAGAAGGGAAGATCCTGCTGGCTTCTAGGACCCGGCAGATAATGAAGTGTAAAGCGTGTGCTTTATTGTTTTGTACGTCTATTGTCACTTATGGATTTTTAACATTTTCTTAGCTTTTCAAAATGTTCTGAAATTTCCCCCCAGCCCTGCCTACATTTCTGCACGTGTTCATAATATGCTCCTGAATCCGTAGGCATTTGAAGAACAATCTGACCACAGAAAACGTTTGTCTGAGGCACCCGACCTCGAAATGCCTGAGCCTGCTTTCTTTTCAAAGGACAGACTGGCTGAGGGTGCCGGGCTCTAATTTAGGAGCAGGTGAGCTCTCCTTCTCAGGTGCCACCAAAGAAGAAGAGATTTACCTGTAAGCTCCTGGCTAGCTCAGGGTTGAATTGGCAGAAAGCCCAGCTATCCTCGTTTGAGGCTGAGGGAGCAACTACACCATCACGAGAGGATGCTCAGCTTCCAACCCATCAAATCTGCCTTCCTCACCCGTAGAAAGGGGGAGCGGGGATGCCTTACCTTTTCTGTGTGGTTCTGGGGCCAATAGGCAACCTCGTACTTCGCTGCAGGTGTATAAAGTGAGTTTGACACAGCGTAGTCCCTCTTCCAAGTAAGGATGAAAGTGCGGTCCTTCTTGCTCTTCTCGATCCTCAGGTGGACCAGGGGCCTGGGCTTCACTGTGGTGGGGAAGAAGCAGAGGCTGAGACGGGGAGAGGCGTCTGGGGAAGGGGAACCCTGCCGGCAGGGCACTGGCTGGGCAAGAAGCCCACAATTCAAAGCCCCCCCGTATCTTCTCTCATTCTTCCACTTTAGGGACTTTCCGTCTCAGTGTTGGAGGAAGCCCCACCGTGGCTCCTGCCCACCCTGCCATTTACTCCCCCAGGTTCCATTTGCCACCCCCCCCCTCTGTTCAGCGGAGAACTCTCCAAGCAGAAAAGGAAGAAGGCTTGGGATATCAACCGTTAGGATGTCACTGCAGAATTCTTTGGGGCCTTTGTCTGGGAAACAAACCCCAGCGCCATTCCGGAGGCAGAGCCAAGAGACGAACTGATGCACCCAATCTTGCAAATGAATCCTCCCCACCTCCTTTTTCCTGTCCAGCAACTCCTCCAGGCCAACAGGTGCCCCTTTTGCCACCTGAAACCAAAGTTGCTGTGGCTGAGGATGGTCCCGGAGTGGAAAGAGATTTCTCACCAATTAAGTCCATATCCCAGGTCCGGTTGCTCCAGACCTTGGCACCGTTCTCTGTCCTGGCCAGCGATATGTTATACTTGAGTCCTTTGAATTTGTCCTCTGGAATCACGCAGACACACCTGGGGGCAGTGCCTGGGCCCTGCTTCTTCTGCAGAGGGCACTCCTGTGGCTTCCTGGAGAAAGGGCGAGAGAGAGCACACAACCCTTTGTCCATTTCTGCACAGCCAGGGATGGTCTGCAGCAGCGCCAAATACCCTCGCATCCCCCAGGTTGCAGAGAGGCCTCTGTCCACGAAGGGAGCAGCAGATCTTGCAGGCAGCAGCCCCTCATCCAGTCCACTACAAGGATCTGCTCCCCTGAAGAAGTGAAGTGAGCCTCCTGGGCCGGCTAGAGGCAGCCCGGCCTCAGTCCCCTCCACAAGGGGTGCGGGAAGCGCAGCCTGAGAGAGTCTACTTTCCCAGAGAGGGTGGGGCAGCAGTGGTCAGCAACCTCTTCAGGTCTGCATTACCCAGGATGCCCTGGGAAAATTTCTTCTCAAGAAGGAAACAGTAGCAGCGTAACAGAGTTGGAAGTTGGAAGGGACTCCCCCAGTCCCTCCTTACTAGTTTCAACAAGCTGAGTTGCTCTAATTGTATTTATTTATTTATTTTTATATGTCAAACATGTATTAGCAATAGCAATAGCACTTAGACTTATATACCGCTTCACAGTGCTTTCCAGCCCTCCCTAAGTGGTTTATAGAGTCAGCCTCTTGCCCCCAACAATCTGGGTCCTCATTTGACCCACCTCAGAATGATAAAAGGCTGAGTCAACCTTGAGCCTGGTGGGATTTGAACTGCCAAATTGTTGGCAGCTGGCTGCAGAAGTAGCTTGCAATACTGCACTCTAACCACTGCGCCACAGAGGCTCCTATGTATTAGATAACATGTATAAGTATAAACATGATTATGAATACATGAAATTGATACAAATAAAAGAAGAAACAATAGGACAGGGATGGTAGGCACATTGGTGCGCTTATGCACGCCCCCTACAGACCTCTTAGGAAAGGGGTGAGGTCAATAGTAGACAGGCTAAGGTTAAAGTTTTTGGGGAGTCAGGTAGAGGATTCCAGACATTGGCCACTCTGTGGCTGAAGTCGTATTTCCTGCAATCAAGTTTGGTGTGGTTTACCTTGAGTTTGTATCTATTGTGTGCCCTTGTATTGTTGTGGTTGAAGCTGAAGTAGTCATTGATGTGTAAGACATTGCAGTAGATAATTTTATGTACTACGCTTAGGTCAGACTAGAGTCATCGTCATTCTAGGTTGTCCAAGCCTAAAATTTCAAGTCTAGTGGCATAAGGTATTCTGTTGTGAGTAGAGGAGTGAGAACTCTTCTTGTGAAATATTTCGGGACTTTCTCAACTGTATTAATATCAGATATGTAATGCGGGTTCCAGACTGATGAGCTGTATTCAAGTATTGGTCTAGCATATGTTCTGTATGCTCTAGTTAGTAGTGTGATATTACCAGAGAAAAAGCTACGCAGGATTAGGTTAACAACTCTTAATGGCTTTTTGGCTATGTAGTTACAGTGGGCTCTAGCACTTAGATCATTAGAGATGAGAACTCCAAGGTCCTTGACAGAGTTTGGATCATCAACAAGGTCTTGACTATTCAGCCTGTATTTTATTTTCTGATTTTTTTTGCCAATATGTAAGACAGAGCATTTATTTGTTGAGATTTGAGATTTTTGTGATTAGAGCCCATTCATGACTGCTGAACCAGACAGGCGCTGGTTGCCTCTCTGACTACAAACCGCTTCGCCTGTAAGAGACCTTGCAGAACTTTCATTGCCCTGCGTTAACCATCCAGGCGTTTCCATTGGACCAACATGGAGATGCTGGGGAGCGGACTGTCTCCTCAGGGCTACCACAGTGCCTTACCAGTCTACCAAAAAGTTAATTTGCCTCTGCCAAATGGGAGAGCCAAACGTCTCACGAAGGAACTAAAATTTTGCCAGAAGAAACCAGACACAATATCGTAACATCAAGCAAGTTGGATGGACACAATTACAGCCATGTTGGGTGCACCACCAGAAAACCTGAAGAAGCAGGTCGGGGACAGATGATCTGCCACGTCCTTTGAATGACTTGATGCTCTCTTGAGGACATGTAAGCATCATTACAGGAGAGAGTGCTGGACAGTCATCCTGTCAGTGGCCCAAATCAATTCCCTGTGGCAGAGTGAGTACAGATGGAGGAAGTTGCACAGCTACTCCAAGGAGTTTGACTGACCGCTTGGTTCCCCAGTCCCTGCAACTAGAAGAGTCCCTGCTTCATAACTGACCCCACACCTCCTACCCTTGGACACTCAACACACAGCTTTGTGCCCCTCAACCACAACACACGGCTTTGCTAATACTTACTTTGCAAGAGCTGACTGGTAGAGTACGTTAAACTCCGCACTGCAGTTGGTGACGGCATCCACCTCCCAATGACAAACCAGTTCAGTGGCAAAATCGGTGTGGCACCTTGGCTGGACATTCTTTGAGGATGCAACTAGGAAAGTACAAAAGAAGAGGAGCTACTTGACGAAGCTGATACGTTCAGACAAATAGTCTGGCACAGCTTAAGGTGCAGAAAAGCGAAAGAATCCTAGGGAACATTTCTTGATTGGATCACATCGCTCCATGGCTGGGTTTCCTCGACCGAAGGAGCAGGGCCCCCCCAGGCCTGCGTAACTTTCTTTGTTTGGATATAAGCAAAGCATCAGCCTGGTTGTAGTCCAGTTCCTGGTTATAAATAGCACTTGTTATAAACATGGGGCTGCGATCTGTGTTACTGCCCAGCTCTTCTCCCTAACTGCACAGGATCGGAGCAGGGCTTTCTCTGACCATGGCATCTCCCGATTTTGGATGCAGACTTTCTGTAGATGGGTCTGCTTATGCCACAGACAACTTATGCCACCCACCCCCCTTTTTCTGTCATGGAAGAGGGGGAGCCTCCTCCTTCACCTCAGCCCAGAGAGCCGAAGAGACCCCTCCTCTTGCTTGTCAAATAGCCCGAGCCAAAAGGGTGGATGGTACCTACCCTCTCACATGAGGCAATACGTTATCATTATGAGAAAATAACTGTAACAGTAATTAATGCAGATACAAGAAGGTTTTGGTGGATTGATGGTGAACTTACCTAGAAAACACTACCTAGTAAGTATGAATCTCCGGGTGGAAAGGCAACTGCAGGGACATATTGTTCTAAGGATATTGTTGCCAAATCTAGGAGTGCATTAATTGCTGAAAACAATCACAATATTTCTATAGAAGAAAGAGGAGGAGGAGGGGGGGAGGAGGAGGAGGGGGAGAAGAAGAAGAAGAGGAAGAAGGAGGAGGAGGAGGAAGAAGAGGAGGAGGAGGAGGAGGAGGAAGAAGTTGAAGAAGAAGGAAGAGGAGGAGGAGGGGGAAGGGGAAGGGGAGGAAGAAGAGGAAGAGGAAGAAGGAGGAGGAGGAGGAGGAAGAAGAGGAGGAGGAGGAGGAAGAAGTTGAAGAAGAAGGAAGAAGAGGAGAAGGGGGAAGGGGAAGGGGAAGAAGAAGAAGAGGAAGAAGGAAGAAGGAAGAAGGAAGAAGGAAGAAGAAGAAGAAGAAGAAGAAGAAGAAGAAGAAGAAGAAGAAGA